ATCTGTTTTCTGCAATGTCTTGGTTAGTGTTTCCTCCCACATGGGGAGAAGGTGCAAGGCAAAGCTTCTCAATGCATGAGCTGTCTCCCTTGGGTGCTCCTACCTGCCCCAGGACTGAGAGTGGCCAGCCACTGACAGCGCCATGATCAATAACAGCACACTTCCAACTGCTCTTTTTCATGCGTGGATGTAAGGAGCACAGATTTGAGTCAGTGCTGTGGCATACAGGCAGGGTTTAATGTATTTATGGATCTGCTATGGGCAAGAGTAGTAGTACTGCTCCTATTCTGATAAAAATGCCAGAGAAAAAGACTCTTTTCTTGCATGGCTTGCCTGACTAGTAAGGCTGTGATCACTTCTCTGAGAGACCAGTGAGCACCCTGGCCCACTTCAGTGCAAAGTCAGACAAATTAGATTGAATCATCATTAAAGAACAAAACCCGTGTCTGCTAACAGTAATTAACATCTGTCTTCTTCTGTATTGCTTTTAATTTACAGAGCTTCAGTCATGGCTGAACTATTCTGTATGCTATTCATTAGCTGATCACATGCCACTGCTAATTTTTTTCAAATGGGTTCACTATATAAATGTTCACCAGTTTGTCCCGACATATGAGGGGAGGGAGGGTCATATTTATTCTATATCTACTTTATGAACAGAACAGAATAATTCGAGTTGGAAGGGACCTACAGTGATCATCCGGTCCAATTGCCTGACTACTTTTGAAGCTGACCAAGTTAAAGCATCTTGTTTAGGCCATTGTTCAATTCCTTCTTAAGCACTGACAGGCTTGGGGCATTGACCGACTCTTTGGGAAGCCTGAATATAAACTTATGGAGGAATATAAACTTATGGAGGAATAAATTTCATGCTAAAAATTGCTGGGGTTTTAGGGTTCATGAATACCAAATGGGAGGCTTGGTGGCTGCCTAAGTAACAGCACACATCTCACTTCTTTATTTCACAGAGCAAGCCAGTTAATTTTGGTATTATTAAACCAACTTTGCTAGTTGAATTGAATTATTTTGTTGGTACAACCTCAGCCATAATTAAACATTTATAACCTCACATAGCTAGACACAATACAAGTCACCCCGACTGAGAGACCTTTGCTCATGGAAAATCGGCATCTGATGTTCGAAAGCCAGAATGGAACCAGCATGTTAAAGCATCTACTCACTATCCAAACAGCCTCTATTGTTACAGTTATTGCCAGTAATATCCTGTTTGTCACTAGGATAGCACTTTGGTTTGCCTGCCATAGAAATAGCATTTACTTCGTGGTTAAAACCTTTCAGTGCGGACCTTTGGAAATTCACCAAATGTGAGGGAACCCCAGGGCTCTGATCTCTAGAAAAACCTCTTCAAAATGCCTTGATAGGTAACCAAACTTGTAAACTTCCATACATCCAACAAAATAAACCTTTTTTGTATCCAAATAACAAATTCGCCTTTCCCATCTGTCTGGCATTGCCTCTGACCCTGCTCTACATCCATCACTCCCAAGCCTGGCAACAGGCCCCGAACAAATTTGCTTTTGTGGACTGTGGGTGGAATCTGTGGCAGAATATTACTAGTGTGGAGCTAATAACTGGTTTGGACTTTGGCACAGTGCAGCTGCATGCATGGTGAAACACGAACAGCTTTTCTTCCCAGACAGCACCATATCTGAGTTGTAAATGTTGCATGAGTTGTCTGCAGGAAGCCTGCTCATTCCTTAGGTGAAATCCATCTACTGCCTTTGATTTCTTACAGGGACGTTGGGCCCAAATTTTGTAGTTTTTTTCAAACCCTTTCATGTGAAAGGTACTGAATAAGTACTGTACAGGTCTAATACTGTTGGAGCTCAGCCCTTTGAAATGCTGGTTGCTTCCTCTTGGCCACCCTTGTCAGTATGTTCACCTGCTTCACCTGTCCCATGGAAACCTGCCCAGGGAAGGAGCTAAAAAGATGCAACACAGCAGGGCAAGTACATGTAGCTGCAGGGCCATGAATGGTTAATGCCTTGGCCACAGCAGTGGTGCATCTGGAGCTTTTCCCAATGCTGGGCTGGATAGTATCACTGTCTCCCCCGAGTTGCTGGAGTTGTGTCAGTGAGAAACTACTCTGAGATCACCACTGGAGTCCTCAATTTTTAATGCTTTCCCCTCTCCCTACTTTTTCCATTAGAAAGAAGGAAATTGGTAAATGCCCTGGGACTCACAACCAGGCTGTGACCTGGTGAGGCAAGAGGGAGAGCTTGCTAACGCACCACTGCTGGTAACAACGTGTGGGTGAAAAACCTTCAATGGAAAGTGCAGCTTCACAAAAATCTGTAGCAATTAATTGCTTTTGAGCATTTCCAGCATGGAAGACCAGAATCAAACAGTTTCAGCTTGTTTGGAAAAGTTGAAACAGTTGGATTTGGCAGAGGCAAGGGCAGGGGCAGAAAAACTGGTTCCCTGGGGTAAATTCAAATGTGATTTTACAGAGCCTCAACCACCCTGCAGGATCTGCCCATGTATGAAGGCTCCCTCCATGCCATGGTGCCTGTGGTATCACCGTGCCCATGGTACTGCTGTGCCCATGGTACCGCTGTGCCCATGGTACTACTGTACTACCTTTCCTCTCGACTATGGGCTGCCATGGCTGAATGGGCTGCTGCTACAGAATATCCTGAAGTCTGTAATCTCAGCAGTAAGGTTGCCCCAAGCGAGCTCTTTACTCTCTCAATACCCACAGTATTTTAAATTATGTTCTGTTTTATGCCATGTAATATTTTTATGTTTTATGAGTGGGACTTTTTCTGCTCCAGAAGTAATTTCCACTGCTCAATTCTATGTGCAGTTTTGTAGTGAAATTGGTTTAATAAATGATGGGATTTCTCAAAACCCTGAAATTACATCTTTGATCAGTACTAGTTTTGACCACTGACGCTGAATAGGTTTTTTCTTAGAATAACATGTTAATATACGAAGCTAATTTTTTCCCTTATCTTTCTGAACTTTGTCATTGAAAGCACTCTTAGTTTATATTTATGTGCTGTAAATAGCTGGAGATATTTTAGATGTCTAACTCTTCAAACCCTGAAAATGTAGCTTGATTTCAAACTGCATTTATGCTGCTTTTACCTGATACCCTAAGGAAATAAGGATTACACAGTGACATTCTTCATCTTCCCATCCTTCTCTCAGCCCTCCTCTCTGTCAGTAACTTTTGAGCCCACTGGCAATTTCTACTACTTCTGGCAGAGAGGGAAGGAAATTGAAGCAAGCTCTTGCAAGTCACCTGCAGTTGGGTAGGGAAGAGAAACTCAGCGTAGTGCCTCCACCGAGTGCCAGACTGCCTGTCTGGCATCAGGACCTGTGTGTGTGCACAGCTCCATGGACACATGTGCCCCAACGCTCCACACCAAAACCACCCAGCCACAGGCTGATGCATAGGTGGTCTGGCACCAGCTATTGCACACAGAGGTATTTGCAGGGCACAGAGAGAAAGAAGGGCTGCAACTGGTGTATAGCTGAGAAGCGAAGCTGTGAGGGATAAGAGAGCTCAGCGTTTCACAGGAAAATGGGTGCTGTTGCACTGTAAGTCATAGATTTGCACAGCCAGGCTTCCTTAGGGTTTTTGGCTCATGCAAGTGTGTGTTTAGAACATGCAATATGCTTTCCTATATCTTGTTTGGGTAAAGGTTCTTTTTGTTTTTGTTTGGTTTGTTTTGTTTTGTTTTTTAAATGGCCGTTTATCTGGTGGGAAGGGTAGAGGGAAGAAAGTGTTGCTTGCATTAGAAGTGATGCTGCCCACTCTTGTGGAGGAACAGGACTTCACATTTCCAGATCAGATTCTGCAATTACACAGCTTGCTTGTTTGGCCAGTTCATCCGCTAAACCTGACATGAAGCCAGAATGAAAGCAGAGATTTTCCCATTACAGAATACCAAATCTATGATAAGCCATGGCATGAAAATTCAGTTTTTAAGGAGGTGGGGAGAGAATGAGGGAAACTCCAACTGTTGCTGCAAGATAAGCAATGAGTTTTGCAGTGCTTCTAGAATTTGTTTTTCAGGGATCTCATAAACAACAACTGTAAGCCAAAGGAGCAGTGAGAGAAGAAAACTAGCAGAATCTGGGATAGGAAAATTTAAGCAGAAGTTTGAGCAACAGTTTTAGCCTAGCACACCAGCTGCATGGTAACTTTGGACACAGCTGGGTAATGCAAGTAATTGCTACAGAAAGAGGCCTGTGAATATTGTACTTAAATCTGAGTCTGTTTTACACAGCGATGCAGTGAACACCATTGATGATCTTGATTATGTTCATATTTTTTCTTATACTTACAAATTCCCTCACAAGAAAGTACTCAAACCAATCACCACTTCTGCTTTCCCTACAATCAAGTTATAGCATTAAAATCTATTTATAGATGGAGTAACAAATGTCTCTGAAAGGAGTTATACTCTGACAGCACAGAAAGAGACTATGTTGGTTTTCTCAAAGATTACTACTTAAATAGGATATATTCTCAAAGATTACTGCTTAAATAGGATATAAATATTGCAGTCTATGCATCTTTTGCCATGAAGCACAAGATCACCAATAGCACATATTTTTATGTGTATATACATGTAGTCTTTATAACTGCAGCCTGCAAAGTTCATAACTTCAGAATTTCAGAAGCAAACCAAGAATAAAAATTGAGGGAGGCAGAATTGTATTTGCTGTCCCAAAAACCCAGGGGATTTGACTGCATCCCTAACACTGGTTATTCACCAAAACTAAAATAAAAATTGGAAACAAACAAATAAATTCTCTGAATAAATCCTGCATTGCCCCAAATATATGAGCTGCCATCTAAGCTGCCTGGCTACCACCCAGGCCTGAATCACGTTCTTGGACAAGAAGTAACCCATGCACCCCCTTTGAACAATCCTCTCCTCTCCTTGAGATTCCTTTACCTCACATACCTCACACCTGGCTCTGCTGCAATCCTCAATTAAACTTCTTTTAAAATGCTTTCTTACCTGCATAGTGGTCAAACACAGTGGGGACATACTCCTCTGGGAAGGCATCATTGGCATAACTCATCAGCAAACAGGTTTTCCCAACTGCACCATCCCCAACCACCACACATTTTAACATCTTCTTCGCGTTATTGCTGCTCCCGTCAGTGCAGTTGTCATTTTCCTTGCAGTTCATTCTTGCTGTTGCTGCTGCTGCCGCTGCTCTTGCTTCTCCCAGGACTTCCAAGTGCACATGAAGGAAAAATGAAGTGCGATTGTATTGACTTTTCCTGAGTTTGGGGGGGGGGGGGGGGGGGGGGGCAGCAAATCTCAAACTCAGGAAATCATACTAATGTTTCCAGGCTGTCACAGCCACTTCTAACAATTACCAGATCAGTAAAGAGAATCATGGAGGTGAATAAATTAAATATACAGAGAGAAATATCATTAAAAAGCTATCTGTCCCTTCTTACTCGTCAGAGTCAGGAAATCTTCATCCTGCTTGGGAGTTCTCAGTATTTATTGCGACTTAAAAAATATCAGCAGCCTGCAGCTTTGATTCGCGTTTCCCTTCCTCCAGCTTGGCTGCAGGAATCAGGGATTCCTGTTAAATCCACTCCATTTTCCATTTCATTTCTAACATGGAGGAGAGCCTGGAGGTTTTTAATGGAGTTTTTCCTTTCTTTCTTCAGCTTGCTGTGTGTCAGGAAATCATGGGTTTCCTGCTGAATTCCATATTAGGATCAGTGGGCTTGTGAAGGGCTGCAAACAATGGGAGCTCTGTGTGTATTTGTACTTTGGAGGAACTCTGCCAGGACATGGAGAAAGAAAAACACTAGAGGTCTCTCTGCAGACCCAAGTTTTTAGGCTTCCTGCTCCATCCCGTGCTCCAGCTGCTCTCTGGGCTGCAGCGCTGGGACCGGCCGGGAGGATTTCGGAGAGGCTGTGGAAGTCACGGGTGCTGGACCTACACAGCCAGGCGGGGTACAGGGAGGCTGCAGGCTGTGCTCATGTCTCAGGGTTGTCTGTCGTTCCCAGATGCCATCTCCTCTGATCTTGGATAGATATTTTCTTCCATTTGGGAGGGGAAGAGGGGGAGGTAGAAAGGCAGACAGGAGGTATAGTAGGCAGGTAATAGTTTAAGGTCATCTTTCTGTGTCTATAGCTCTTTAAAGAATTTGTCATAAAGAATAAATAATTGATCTTTCAATTTGGGCACTCAGGAAGTTTATTTCCTCTCAAACACACGTGCACACACACACACACACACAAACAACCAAAAAGAGGGATTTTTTCCCCTCCTAGAGTATGCACGTATATACAAGAGAGAGAGAAAAAAAATGTGAAATTAAAAGCAACAGAAATTAAAAAAAAATATAAAAAGTTAAAACACCACATAGCAATCTGTGGAAAACCAGCTTTGAACTATGTGATTCCTGTCCCCTCTCCTACTTTGTTTTGTCATTTCAAGTGCCTCCCAAGTCTTTCTTCCATTTAAATACATAACAATGTATATGCGCATGAGGGGCCAAGCTCCTTGTTCCTTGCACAGGAAAGATTTTGCTATTTCCAGGAGAAACGAGCCATACACTAACATAAACCCCAGTACAGCAGCTCAGCACATCCCACTGGCTGTGTTTCCCTTCCACGAGAATTGAAGGCTTTGAAAGGGGGAAACACTCCCCGCTGGGACTCCACCGGGAAGCACACTGGTGCTAAACGCTTCCGCTGCCTTGCTCATGCCTGCTTGGAAAGAAATGCCCAAAAGCACATACAGGCTTGGAGCAACGCGCACCTGAAAGTGTAAACACCAAAAAACCTTACAAAGAAACTGTCTTAGCCCCAGACTGCAGAAGTAAAACACAACCTCAATAATGAACCTCTTTAACCCCAAACTGTGTGTTCGTCAGTTTTTGGACACTTGATTTAGCTGAACAGGGTGCTGGGCCATCTAGTCTAGATCGTACTTTGCCAAGACAGATTGGACCAGATGATCTATGATTTTGCTGTGAAGGGACACAGCAGACCCACCTGCAGTCTCCCCTGGACAGGCTAAGCCCCACCACTGTCAGAGCTCTTCAGTGATCTAACTGTATGCTGGACATGCTTTGAACACCTTTTCCAAGAAGTGACAAATGGATAAAACATGTAAGCAGTGTTAAACAAGGTTGGTTTATTTACCTGGAGAGCCCCAGGGAGCTTTACTTCCTGTCTCTTATCAGGAGTCTTGGTCATTCAGTAATTTGTGCACAATGTCCCATGTTCTTAATCTTCTTCATGTCCTCTTCTGTGTTGACACCAGGTTTCTCAGTAGACAGTGTTAGGCTCAGCATCACAACCACCGATACAGGGCATCACTACAGGGTTTCCCACAGTTAGGAGTTCAGGTGGCGACCTCTTAACTTCAAAACTACAGCCCAGGGCTGAGGTTTACCCAAGAAAACTTGTGAGCTCTGACCACCTAAATCCTCATTCTCTAAGCATTTACTCTGCTGATCTTTTCCACCATCAGCAGAACAGCTGGGTCATAGTGAGGGGTATCAGTGTTACAGGGATTTACTCTTTAAGCTTCTTTCTAGTTGCAATTGAGGTCAAACTCCAAGCCTCTGGCTCTGTTTAGCGATTTTGTAGCTGAGTAGATAAAAGCACTACTTTGGCACGATGAAGCTGCCTACAAACGGCAATGAGGAAGTCACAGGGCTATCAGTAATGATTAGCAAAGCTCAGAAGGTCTCGTGATTTTATCTTGATCCAGGGCTTTTTTGCTCTTTCACTAATCAGGTTAGAATTGGTCAGGTTTGCTCACAAGATCTCTGTCATTCCCATCTCACAAATCCAATAGGAGCTGGCTGGTTCCAAGCCACAAAGTTTGGAAAAACTTGGGTGAATTTAAAACGTGAATCCAGTTATTCTAAATGCTTGGAAAGCTTGTTTAAATGAGTGTGGTTCTCCAACACAGTTTTATTCCTATTCATTTTACTACTTTCTAGCCAAGACCACCATGGCAAGAAAGAAGACTAAAATAAAAAATAGATAGGGCCAGGTGCTGTTAACACTGTGGTATGAAGATGTCACCTGAGATGTTTTCTAGCAAAGTTTCTCAAGCAAAGAACCCTGCTATAGATGAAGTGCCTCTGACCTCTCATTAATTAGCAAATTAAATGGCAGCAGATCTATTCCTAGGACTGCGGAGTATGTCCAACTCCAGATATATGTATGGAAGCATTAGCTGCATCTTCATCAGCACTGGTCTGACAGGACATCCCTGGGGCGGCTTCCTTGGGAATTAGCAAATTCAAGGCTAGTGCAAGAAATTTTAGTGAGATCTGTAGGAGATGAAGGACTTGTGAATTTGTTACTTAGCTCTTCAATGAGCAATATGCTTGCCAATTAACTCTATTCTATATTTCTCTGAAGGCACTGTAGGATATGATGCTCTGTAACGCTCTTCCTGCTCTCTTCCCCTGGCCAACCCTGCCATTCCCACATTTCTTTAGCCCTTCTTACAATGCAGCAGTCTTCCTTTGTGCAATCTTATCACTTTAAAACTTGACATTCAGAGGAATTTTCTCCATTAACTGGTTTCCTTACAAGACCAGACCACTTTGGTTTTATAGGGGCTTTATTTTTCCTTACGTCTTGTTCTCCTAAACGTTCCCTTTCATCATTCCTCCTTGACCTAAACCAAACAGATCTGTCTGTACATTTTCACTAATGAGAACAGGCAGCACAATGGGGTGGGGAATTCTGAAGGTGGCTGCACTACAGTGAAGCTTTTCTCCCCATGTCTTGCAGCTAGAAACAGCCATGTACAGCCACCCTCCTTCCACCTACAAGTGTTGGTGTGGGAATGAGGTTTCTGGTGCTACTGTTGAATTCTAAATTAACCTCAGGCAAATCTCACATTTTTTCTTACCCATTGTCTAATCTGTTTAGATTGTCAGAATTTTTTAGGGTAGGGGTTGTGTTGGTATTGGACTGAACATGCCAGAACCATGTTCAGTTTAACTATCACTGTACTGTTCAAAACCTGGTTTCCCTGGTGATCAGATTCAGGACCTTTTCCAGACTTGTGATAAGAGCCAGACTCTTGCAGTTAAAAGAATCTGGGACTTTAAGAGATCCCCACAGTGACCATATTTTCAGGGGAGACCCCTAGTCCTAGATAGAACATCTTTGATGTGGCTCCTCTTTGTTCTTGGGTTGCCTGTATGTCCCTCTACATTTTGAATTTAAACAATTTAAATTATCCTTATTGCTTCCATCCTTTCTTCCTCTTCCTTGTTTTCTAGGCAGCCTCCTACTCCAGTGAAGTGGTCATTGAGACCTCAAGTGAATTTGATGTATTGAAAAGCAGAAGCAGCAACTAAAGGAGAAAAACATAACAGTTTATCAGTGAGCACAGGAGGGTTGGAAATGCTCCGTGTGATGCCTTTTTAGAAGCAGCTTGCTGAAGGGCAGGTGATGACGTCCACCTTTGAGGCTTGTTGAGTAAGAGCAAGCCTCTTTACAGCTGTTACACACTATCAGTCACACTACCACCATTACACCACCATGGTGGTCCATGACAGCAGTGGGGTCTTCCCTGTTTCATGTGCTTCCATGGATACAATTTGTGTGACAGGATTTCCCAGACACACTATGGGAAAGATGAGCTTATGAAACAAATTACTTCTGGGAGATGAGGTCACTCAAAGGATGATTCATGTCCTGTCCATCAGAACATGTCCAGCAGCTTCCCAGAGGCAGATGCTATATAATGAGAATCGCACATGGTGTATCTGCATGTTTGTGAATGGGAAGAGCGGTTTTCAACTAGAACTGATGTTGCCCATCTTGTTACCTTACATTTCATTCTGTGTCACTCACTGTAGATCTTTGCTGTGTTACTCACCTATCCACACAGCTGGTGCTACTTGTCCAGAGTCTGGATTTCCAGCTGTTCTGTTCATAGGTATTTGTATTTGGACACTGAGGATGAGTTTTCCTTGGAGGCATGAAAGTTGCCTCTCCCCTTCCCTTTCATCCCCTTCTGTCTCCTCCTCTCCCCTTCCACACCCTTCTTCACCCCTCCCATCCTATGTCTCCTACCAATCCCTCTCCCCAGAGTAGAGCTGATGGCTGATAAAAGCTGTTTACCTCTCTCCTTATGACAGTGGAGAGAAGTGTAAGCGTTCAGCCTGGGATTAGCATAGGAGGAAAAGTATCACTTTAGGGAATTTATTCCTCCCTACCTACAATGTTTTATATAGAGGTTTTTTCCCTAAATGATATTTATTTTAAGGCTTAGCAATACAGCAGGAAGTCAAGCGAGTAGGAACCCCATCTATGCCTTTTCTGCATCTTGAAATGGCATTTATCTCTGCAGATGGTGAACTGCTAGGAATGTAAAGGGGCTGCAATCAGGAAATCAAGCTCCACTGAGGACACCAAACTTGTGACCAATTAGCACCGTGTATGCACGCATGCAGTGAAGTCATTAAAGAGCAAATCTATTTTGTTCACCTCTGAGTAATGCTTGGGACATAATCTGCAATTTCTTTAAAAGCAGAGAAACTTTCCCAAGTGAGATGTGACCAAATGTAAAGTCTCCAACTTTTAGACACAGAAAGTTAGTGTCTAAAAACGTGCCAATTGGAATCTGTAGGTTTTCAGCTCCCCCCTTTTTCAGGCCAAATTGCCAAGCTGGCTTTATCATTGAAATGAACACATGGCTGATTCATACAACATTCACGCAGAGTTTTACTTTCCTGGAAAGAAGGGAGCAGGCTGCTTCCAGGGAGGGAATGTGCTTTTGTGGTTCATGTGATCATTTTTCTTCTGCTCAAAAATAAGAAGAAGGCTGGTGCTGTCTCCACATTCCAGGAACAGGCAGATGGGAGGAGAATCAAAATGGAAAGCTAAGGGATGTCACGCTCTTTCTTCTGTCTCCTTGCTGAGCCTATTATCAGCAAAGCTTTGCGGCAAAGGCACTGCAATTAGACCTGGGAACACCATTTTCAAACCTGCTGCTCCGACTTGCGCAGGTGGAGCAGATCATTTAGGTGATGCCCTTATCTCATGTGTAAAACAGGAATGAAGAACGTTTCCCTTTTTTCTTCCTGTTTGTACTGTTAATCTTCAGGGCAGGGACCAGGTCCTGCATTGTTTGAAGGGTGTGTGTCCATGGCAGAGAAAGCCAATTTACTTGCTGACTGTCACCAAGAAAGTGTCTGGTTTAACCTCATAGTGTGCTTCTTTTCAAAGGAGTTAACACGTAGGAAACTCTTTTACTTCCTCCCCCATCCCCTTCACATTATTTTTTAGCTGGCTGACCTCCCCCAGCTCACTATAGGGATAGCTTGGCTTTCCACCAGTGATAGAGTTAATGAGAGGAATGCTGGTAGTAGCAGGTTGCTTTGCTCCTTTTGTAGCAATCGGAGGTTTTATTTACATTCCCAGATCACCTTCTTGTTTTAAAAGTGTCTGAATGTGGTGGTAAAACAAGGGAAGAATGTAGGCACCCTACCTAGGCTGCTGAAATGTATGCCCAAAACAGCATGAGGCCTAATGTTAGAGCATTAGGTCAATGCTTTGGGGCCTCTAAGTACCTGAACATGCAATGGAAGAGGGAGGGAGAGGGGAAAAAGTAGTCACAAGCCATCAGACACATTTTTAGTACCTTGGGATGTCAGAGAGAAGTACATGAGAGCCCCGGGGAGTGGCTGCAGTGATTCTGCAGAACTCCCTGCGAAGGGGAGAACTAGGTTGCCATCACCTCCAGCAAATGCCTATGGCTCAGTTCCTCTCCACCATGGATGATCATATTACTGACCCAAAAGCACTAGCACAGCCCTGCATCCCTCCTCAGCTACCTGTAGTGTTTACAAACTGCACCTAGCTTTAGGGCCACAGCCTGGGCTATCTGAACCTGTGGAAATGTGTTCCTGTGCTTTCAAAACCATATACTCCAGTGCTTTCCAAGAGATCTATGCAGCTCTGTAGTGCTCTTGCTGCAGGTAGCACAGCTGTTAATGTACCTGTGATAACATATTGGGTTTGTGTACAGCATGAGCTGCAGTCGCAGCTTTGCAGGCATGCTGCTATAGGCGTTTCTGGTGCTCTCAGGCTGATTTAGAAACTTTCACCCTTCTGTGCCTCCTCTCTCCTTGCTGTCTGGCTCATTCCTCCGATGAGAGGGCTCTGACATCCCTCGGGAGGAAGCAGAGGAAGCTCTGCTTATTTAGAAGTGGCCATTTGTGAAATTTAGATATAATGCGTCACTGGGGAACTGTGACTTTTAAATACTGCAGTAGGGTGCTCTGCCCTGCACCATGCTGCAATTAAGTGATGTTGCCCCATGAAGTTTTTAAGGGTCAGGGCTCCCTTTCCCTGCTTGCCTTTCTTTCACAGTAGCACACTGATGTCAAATGGGCCTGGCTGCACATTTGCCACCACTTCAGAGCTCTCTGTGTTGCTTCCAGTGTCTGCCATTACATGGCAGGAATCCTGGTGAGTTGTTTTTTAGTTCAGAAGCACTTGAGACCATGTTGTCTCCATGGAAGTCTATTTTGCAATGGTGATATGTCAAGAGATTTAGCAGGCAAAGCTGACTCTCAAGAATCTCCAATTTTGTTGAACTTCATTGGCATCAAAGGTCCTGTGGCACATCAGAGAGGTTGCAAAGTCTCCATCGTTATGGTAATGGTCAGATACAGGTGGCTGTTTGCTTCAGCAGATGTCCAGGAGGTGAACGGGGGATCTATTCTCTTTCTTGTCTCTCTGATTTGCACTCTGCAGGCATCAGACCTGATTATTTGGCTTATGCAGGGATGCACTCTACATTTTCTAATATGAAACGAAACATGTAACTTTTTATTACCTGTGGAAGTGGCTTTTGGACATGTCCTCTTTCCAAAGGGGATCAGTGCAGTATGGAGATGAACAGATGTCTCAAAATAAGTGGGTTTATTTAACATATGAACCAAAACATTACAAGAACTAACTTGATAACAGCAAGCAGCTGATAAACTTCTGTAATTTAAATTTCAGACTTCTTTGATGGATGCTGCTCATGAGTGACAGGAGCAGAAAAACCCCAATTTACATGTTGTAACTAATGCAGGTGATCTGGAGACACAGCCTGATCTCAGTAGGCATCACCCAGTATGAATTTTTTCTTGGAAAAGCTTTTCCCAGAGCTCTGGGCTCACTGTGCTCATATGAGCCGTGTGACCAGATGTTGCTCTGGCTTTTGTCAAGGGACCCAGGTGTGAACCCTTCCTTTTTTCACAGAGTGGCTTCTTTTTCCACTCAAGCATCTGAGTGGCCTGAGAGCACACTGCTGCAGGAACCACTTGTAATCATACCCTACAGAGCAATTTTTCTTTAATGCCTTGCCACACAGGTAGTGATGATGGTGAAGCACAGCCAGGCTCCCACATTTAGTCCTGAGCCCACCAGCCTTTGTCACCATCATCAGCTGAGCTGAGAGCCCCATGCAGCAGGTGCTGTTTAGGTACACAATAGCCAAAGAACCTGATGACTTCCAAAAGCATTTCAATCCTTCCTGTTCTCTCTGCATATCTATCAGCCATGTCTCATTTCTATCTGAGAAGGAAAAGCACTGGAGTCCTGGAAGAAGCTGTGTCTTTCCCTTTGTCATGGGTGAGATCCCTCTCCTCTGGTGGCAAATAAACATCAGGTATGAGGTGTTTCATTTCAGCCTTTACCATTACACTTTGAAATGCTCCAGTGATTTTTAATCCTTCCTGTAGATCATCTTCAGAGCTTTGTCTACTTTCCAAGTAGCCATTGAGACCGATTCTGCTGTATTAGCTACTGGAAAATAATATAAATAATAATCCCAAGTTTAAGTAATTCATTATTTACTTCAGTACTGGCATGGTGCTTATATACAATTCTCCTCTTTCCTAGGAGTCTTGAGCACTGTTAGTCTTTTTTTCCAGATTGGAAATACCACTTGGACTGGCATCCCTCGTTTCAATGTCTCTTTCTATTTTATCCAGACCATCTTGGGCTGTATTCTGATTATGGAATAAAAAGAAAAAGAAAGAAAACAAAAGAAAAAAAAAAAAGGAAAGAAAAAATGGAAGAAACTTTGTGGGTTTTTCTCTTCCCATGAGACTTCCAACATTTTTTGACCAGGTTCAGTTACAGTCCTTTTCCAAATTTACACTGAGGTGAGGAGAATTGGAAAACAGTCCATTGGGAAATCATACAAGAGTGGGTTCATGTGACAGATCTTTCTGCAACTTGTCATGCTGTGAATAGCAGGGCAACAGCCTTTCAGCACTCAACCATGTCACTGCCTGCCTTGCTTTTGATGGAACTGGGGTGAGTGCGTGCTTGTGGAAACAAGATAAAACTTAACTAGTATTTTTTATCCCAGGAAAGGGTCTGGTTTCTGTTCACATTCAATGTTTGCATAATAATATCTTAATTTACTTGTCCTCCTGTTACTGTGTCCCCTGCTCCTATTGCTCTGTGCTGGCATGTAGAATTTGCATTCAGCAGTGCTTTGAAGACTGCAGTGGAAACGTGCTCATGTTTTGTTAAGTATTAATTATACAAAAGTACAGGGAGCAGCCCCAGGCTCACAGCATATACAATCTAAAGGTGCAAACGACATTAGGGGAACCAGAAGAGAAAGTGTCCAGTTGACGTGTGAAGTAGTGTTGTTGCTAGAAATAGCAGCCTGTGCCCTTGGCTCATACATCCGTGGTTATCTTCTGTTAAGTTAAACACCTTTGAGTCATGTGCTATGCTTACAGCAGGTTGCTCTGAAAGGAAAATCAGGGCCAGATTAGCTGTTTATAGGATTTTTGTGCTGTGGGATCTGTCACTCTGCAGTACAGTGCTAAAACTGTCCTGCCAGTGCCAATTCACTGCGTGGTAGACAACCCATGGGCTCAGGCTGGGACTCATCCATGTTTCTCCATAACAGCAGAGATGTTTGCTTGGAAATGTCACTTGGAAAAGTATATTCCACCCATCTACCCAGCTGTATCAAGGACTGTAAAGACACAAGCAGTGAAAATCTGAAGACAAACGGGCTTTTCCTTAGGTTAGCTCTTTCATTCTCCTGTTGTTGCCTGTCCCTGTTGGCTGTGCTTGAATCATAGACTCATAGAATAATTTGAGTTGGAAGGAACCTTCAAAGGTCAGCTAGTCCAACCTCCCTGCAATGAGCAGAAACAACTTCAGCTAGATCAGGTTGCCCAGAACCACATCCAGCCTGGTCTTCAATCTCTCCAGGGATGGTGCATCCACCACCTGTCTGGGCAACCTGTTCTAGTATTTTACCACCCTCATTGTAAAGAGTTTCTTTCCTCCCATCCAGCCTGAATCAACATGCATTTTAAACCACTGTGGTTAAAAATACAAGTTGCAGAACATGCATCATCTTAATATCTACATTTGAGCTGTGTTAATGCAAAGGAAGTAAGAGTTATTTGTGCCTTACAGTGAAACAGAAGGGAAATTTTTAAGTTTATCTCTACGCTATGTATTTTCTCTTTCAGCATGCATGACACAGCTCACATCAGCTGCAGCCATTCTGCCCCAAGGGGCAAAATCTAATTCTGGATACTTCCCTGCAACTGAATTTCTTTGTCTGGCAAGTCCCTTGGTTCCCAGCCGACAGAAATCAGTTTAGGAACCAACAGGTTGGCAAGTTTGGGGTTTTGAAAAGAATGGATTCAACATGGGCTCGAAAACCAAGAGATTATGACAATATAGCTATGAGATCTTCTCAGTTGCACAACAGCATCCCACCTCTTCTCTTTCCTTCCAGAGAATAGAAAACACTTTTACACCTGAGCAGGACAGATCTGATCAGGCAAGCAATTTCACATAACCATGAGGTTACCTCTCACTATAGGCAACTGCTAACAGCTGTTGTTTCCCACTGTGGATACACACAGCTTTTTTTTTATGATGCAGGGGAAGACTTGGGCTTTCAAATCCTAACAAGCTATTTGCTTCTCCTTCTCTTTCTCTTCACACAGTTAACCTGTGTATCCAGCTGCAAAGGCATTTTCTGGATAAGAGTGCGGTTGAGCAGGTGATATTCCAGCCTCTCCTCCCTTTCTGTAATTAGCAGCCACAAATGTGGAGCTGGGTCTGACCCTTTGCCATTTTTTTTGCTAAGGTTTTTATTAATTTGAGACTAGTTTTCATAGCAACTCACCAGGTAGATGTAACAAACATTCGGCTGTACCTGACAGAAGATAGTGGGTTTGTCTGCTCAGAAGGTTATACTGAGTGTCAGGGGCCAGCTGCGGTTTGAATCCTGGGAATGCTCCAACTGTTTGACAGAAAAAACATGAAGAATTAAAGTGGAAACATTACAGTTTAAAAGCAGGATTTGTGTCACCCTGAGCTACCAACCTCTGTTATCATGGTGTATCAAAAACTCCTACTCTCTGTGGAGCTGGCAGGTAGCAGGAGGCTTTTAACACCCCTAATGTCACTGTTCCTGGGGGGACATGCCCTTGTCACCTGTAGACTAAATTAAAATGAAGGGTTGTTTCTTTTGTTATCTGAGGCAGATTTTTTTTCATCTTCTGATGTTTTTCGTTGTTTCCATGGAAAACTGCTCCCAGTGCTCTTGTGATCCTTTTGCTCCTGCTCTGCCCACTTCTGGTACAAGGACACTGTGCATAGAAATGCTTGGACACCTCAAATTATCTAAATTACCTTTTTTTTTTATTTTTTTATTTTTTGCCAGACACTGTGATAATGGCCACAGTATGTGCAAATCTGAGTATTCTCTTGTTTTGGGGGACTTTTGTTTTCATGTGGTGTTTTGTCTCAGGTTCCTTTACCCTAACGCAGTTTGATGGCAATGTTCACCCAGTGTATGCTCTGTCTGGAAAGGAGGACATCCTTTTATCATTCCTTGACAAACTTGAAATGCTCTCTCAGAAAATATGTCTTCATTCGCAGTGAGTCTCATGACTTTACCCCACATTCCTGCTATGATCTGGTTGCTATAATCAAGAACTCCATCCTCTCCATACTGATTCTTCACTCTTCAATAGTTTACAATCTCTTCTCTCTTTTGCTGTTTCCCAGTTTGCAAACACCTCCTTCATCTGTTTCCCCTTTGGTGTGGAAGGGTACATTATACAACACAAAAGCATCATTCAGTACTATCTAGTGGCTCAGCACTGTGGAGTATGAACCTCTGTCCAGCAGTGGATACTGTATAGCATTAAGCAAATTTGTTCCACACATCCCTTGCATAGCTCATTTCTCCAATCTACCTGCTGAAGGTAGTTCTAAGGTATCCATGGTACTATCCATATTTTCACCTGTTCTTGGCTCATGACTTGGTTCTCCCACCTAGTAATTTCTCCTCCAGCATAAATGAAAACCCCTGATTCTTTTAGCCCCAGGCCATTGCTCTGTGATGTTTATCCTCTGTGTTTGGAGTAAAACTTTGATGGTTTCTGAAAAGCTATGGATGCACTGGACAGTTAGGTGACACAGTGTGCCAGTGGTCAGTGTGTGTTTAAGAAGTGCTGCAGTTGTTAATGCTACATTCTCCCTGTGTGGATTTAATGGTGGTGACCCCAAATGTGCATCGTGTATTTTTACTATTGTTGAACAGATATATCTTCCATTTGAATTCTCTTGAAAGCTTGCTAATTTCTGTCTCAGATCCACTCAAGATCTCAGCGAGGCTTCCATGAAATGGCTTTGCGATTGAGACAGGAGTTCCTTTCTCTCTGATATTCTGTGGGGACAGCATATAATATTATGTGTGCCTGTTAACCGCAAGTAGTCTTCCTGTGGTCACTAACACTTGCTGCTAATCCTAGTGAGTGTGTAAATTGTCCCATGCTGCTCTGCTTCCCTGGCTGCTTCCATTTGCAGTGAGGCATAATTTGAAGGACTACACCTTGCACTCATTTGCAAAGCAAAATCGTTCCTAGGTGTAGGCAAGTGTGAGATGAAGGAAAGGATATCCAGACATCATAAAGAAACAATCTGCGTCCAAAGCATGCCCCAATGCAGTTTTACAGCTGCCAGCAGAGGGGTAACCAGCCATATAGACAACAGCTGCATTGCCAAGGAACAAAATTAGAGAGCCAGATGTTCCTCTTGGAAGTACATTACACTGAACTTGGCAGATGCGTGCTGTAGCTGCCAAGTACATCTCTTATTTGGTCATAGGTAATGATCCCTCTATCAGGGAATGTGGAGGAAAAAGACCACACACAATATCCTCATCAAAACGTTATTGTTAAAATGTTAACTTCTTTTGGACCAAAAGGATTTTGGAGCTCCATGGCAACCTTCACATCTTGTTTGAAGGATGATGTTGTTTACTACCATGCATGAAGTGAGAAACTTACAGTAACTGAAGCCAAGTGCTTTCAAGGTATTTGTTACTGAAAGGTGACTAACAGGCTGATTTTTTTATAGTAACCACAGTTGCTTGTGGGCGCTGTTGTAGTTCTCAGCTAAGACTGCAAGTGAGAAGGAGAACTTCTGTTTCTGTCTTTGAAGTAAAAACCAGTAGTCTGGGTTTCTGAGGACATGTTTATGTTGAAGCCATATCTGTGATGCAGAGTGATAGAGACAGACCCAATCTAGCTTTAAACTAGCCAGCTGCGTGTTAGTAGACTAGTCACTGCAGTGCAGAGCACCTTCATCAAGTCGCTGCCTGTATATCTTCACTGGAAAATTTTGAAGCCTGATGTTGCCTGTATATCTTCACTGGAAAATTTTGAAGCCTGATATTGCCTGTATTGCTGTCTAGAGCTAACACTGCTAGGGTCCACATTACTCTGCAATGGCAATATATAGACACATAGTCCCAGATTCATGCCAACTGGTGGGATGCAATTCATAAAACTGCTGGAGTTGGGGGTCTGGCTATGGTGTTATCAGCATAGAATAACTGCTACTTCCTCAGGGAGATCTACTCCTCCAAAGACTCCAGACACAGCTATAAGTACTTATCTAGTGAGAACACAGATGACTAAATTTTTGGAAATATGTAATATACACATGTCTGAAATAACTGGAGGGATGATTCATATCTTATGTCTTTCAGTTATCTTTCTTAAAGTTTCTGAATTTGATCCTTCTCTCCTGGGACTCTCAAGTTGCAAACCCAATTCTTTCTTTAAGTATGTTCTATTTAGTAACCAAAGAGGAACTTACTTTCCCCTAAAAATTACTTTGGGACAACAT